TATATATATATAAATGTGTGCGCGCGCGCGCGTGTGTGTGTGTGTGTGTGTGTGTGTGCGCGCGCGCATATATATTCATGTATCTACCGAATGTCATTTTAAATGACGATCTCAAGAATATCTCTTAAAAAGTGCATTTTAGAAAAAAATATTTCAGATGATAGTGGAACGGTTTTGAAGGAGATGTATTTTGGTCATGTCGTTTTTTTTCTAGATAGAGTTTATAATGATTGACTGATCTCAATACTTTATAACCTAATACCTTTATATATAGAATAATTAGAGGAATAATATTGTATACAAAAATCGTATAATTTTATTTTTTTTAAATGAAGATGATTTTCACTTTTTGCTTCTAGAAAAAAACATGATCAAAATATGTTCTTTTCGAAACCATTTCACTGAAACACAACTTCATCTGAAACATTTTTCTTTAAAATGCTGTTTAAAAGATGTTTTTGAGTCGTTTAAACTGGGGCACCTGGTATATACATAAATACAAGTGCACACGCGCTTGTGTCAATAATATATAAATGAAAACCCAATTTTATAAGAATGAACTTTTCAAACGCAAAAAATTATAAGTCATAGAAGGTTGGTCCAATAGGGACATTTGTGCAGAAGGATGAGAACTACATATCCAAAATTTAGTCAATTTGACCAAAAAGCCAATTTTCACAAAGTTGAGGGAGGTTTTTAAATCAAAAAACTTGTGATTAAAATTAAAACTAAGTACTTATATAATATATTATATAATACATTAATAAACATAAAATTTAAAAAAGTAGTTTAAAAAGTGTTTAAGTAATTAAACAATTTTTTAAATGTATTCTGTACTTACCAAATTGATTGTGATAAAAACCTTTTCTCATTAAAAGCTCTCATTAATCGTCTGGAAATAAGACAGTCGAGTTTGTCTGACACTTTATCACACTCTCCTTGTGCGCTATATCATATTTCCTTGAATAAGAACGATACATATTCTTATCGTGAGTAAAGTTGAACAGTATACATAATGCAAACAAATTTTCAAGAAAAAGAAGATATTTAAAAGATATAACCAATTAGCTCATTCGAGTAATGCAACTTTAGCGTGATGGCTGTGTTATGTACTTGGCGAAAGACGCTACTGTGTCTACTGAGTCTCGTTATCCTGATGCTTAAACGGTTGTAAATTTACTGATAGCACAAATCTCTCTTTTTATCACCGTTTTTAAACGACTTTTGTTTAATATAAGAGCTAGTCATTTTAAAACATTTTCAAATTTATCTGTTTATTTATATGTCTCGCATTTTTTGTTGTTATTCATTTTTAAGAATATTTAATAATTAATTTATTCGATTTAAATAATTTATTTTATTTATATATATTATAATATGTCATCAAATAAAATAAGTCTAGTCTGAAATAAGTATTGTTCACACATACACATGCACATATAACATTAAATTCAGTAAGTACTAGCTAGTTGCACACTGAACACTATATTTTTCTAACATTTAGACGTCGTGCAATTCTTACTACGAATGAGAACGACACAATATACAAGCGAGAACGATACTTTCTTTATTTTTATTTTCTTGTATGTTCAGAAAGCAACATCTGGCAAATAGCTGCAGAAAGGAAATGATATTATTGCATGTCGAAACAGTCAAGGAACTTCTGTAACACGGGAAATAAGAAAACGAGCTCGAGGAGAACTGTAATTATGGTGTGTCTGCGATATTTTTGGCGAAATTCTTATACTTTCCATATTCGATGTCGTATGTGAAAGAGGCAACGAAAAAAAATATATGCGCAACTGGCTCGTTAATCTTGCAAGAAAATTGATGTTATCCATTTATTTTGCATGATCGGCATGCCTCAGCATTTCTCAGCATTTGACTAGAAAAGTTTACCTCGAAGCTAGTACAATGTATCTATTGCCAGTCTGGTGTATACCTTCGACTTGCATCGAAGTCCAAAAAGTCATGCAGGTATGAAAGTTAACAACAATGAAGAATATCCTGTCATCATCTCTGAAGAAACAAACTGTAAATTCCTAAATGACGATTTCTTTCATTTTTAGTCCGAAGCTGATCTCACTGAAGCATTAAACTTAGTAATTTGGAACAAACGAATCTTGTCTTTTTTGGGCTTATGGCCACTCAAGCCAAATCAATTTCTATTCATATTTTTTATCATATACATGATAATTTATTGTATCATGGGAGCAGGCCATTTGATTAAGAATGTTGATCAGCCGGAAGTCGTCATAGCAAATTTAACAGATAACATATTGTTTGGAATGATATTGGGAAAAATGTTCATATGCAAACGCAGCTGCGAGATAATGATCGAGTTTCTGAAAAGCATCGAAATCGATTTCACGACAAGAATGTACGACAATGTCCAGGAGAAAAAGGCGTATCTATATTATAACAAAATCGCACTGCTTTTCGTAAAGATATCGACAAGTATGGCAGGATTAGCAGCCACGATGTATTATTTGAGGACATTTTTCGAAAATTGGAGCGCGAGTAAGTACGACCATTATATATTTTTACGCGTAAGACTTAAAGCTATATTTCATGATAATGGTTTAAAAAGCATTATCTATCGTTCATTATCTATTGTATCCTCGAGTCATTATTTGCTATTCCAAAGTGGAATGTACTATGCAGACATGTTGTGTTCCAACTCAATACTTTTAGATATCGAGATGCTATAAGTAATAAAAATTTAATTTTTATTTGAAATAATTGAGTAATACAGCACTGTCGTTTATTTTAATAAAATCGTATTTTGTGATGTTACAACTTTTATTTTGAATATTTAAATATTTTTAATTTTATTTATACGCTGCAAAAGGCTATAAAAGGCTATAAACTAATTTATAGAAAAAGATAAAATTACTTGCAATTGGTTTCTTTTTGGGTCAGTCTGATCGACGATTACGATTATATTCCAATTAGGCTATGGTTGGATAAATATAATAAAGACGATGGAAAATTAAATATAACGTGATGTATATAGTTGTATCCGGTAATTTTTCGTATAAATTACCGTACCCGGTTCATCCCTTCTTTGAGATCAAGGACACTCCTACGTACATATGCATGTGCGTGTATCTGGCGCTAGGTATAGCGATTATAGTATGCGGTTATGCTGGACCAGATGCTTTTGTACTCAGCATGACTCTTCATGTTTGCGGTCAGTTTGCCGTTTTATCATGCAAAGTCAACCATTTGTTAAAAGATAATGAGAATTATCGTCGCCATATTAGTAACATTGTGTTGAGACATTACCATTTAATAAGGTGAATTCATATTTAATTTATTACACGTAATAATAAAATTTTAACATAATAGTAATTTTAATTATAATGCGTTTGCATAGGTGTATGTTACTCCTTATATAGATTATGTCAAACTATTATAGTTTGACATTAGGAATAATACGATATTTTAACAATGCATTATAATTCCAGATTAGCAGAGATCTTAGAGAGCAATTTCAACATAATATGCCTACAGCAAACTCTGGGCACTTTATTGTTGCTCTGTTTTACAGTATATCATACAATTTTGGTGAGCTTTATGATTTGAAGGTTGGAAGATTATTCACTTTACAATTTGCTTCTCCTATTTAAAAAAAATATTGATGCTAATAAATAAAACATTTTATCAATATTTTATAATTAGAAATAATGTTAAATTTTTAAAAAATTTGGTGCTTATTTTTCTTTCAAATTTATTATAGTTTTTATCAATTAACTCTGCACTAATTATATAAAAAATTATGGATTCTTATGAAAAGCGTTTGTTTTTATGTATATGTTGCAGTCACAGACTTCTATAACTATGTAGAGGTGCCTTTCGAATTACGCATGATGTATCATTTGTCTCTATTGTTAATTAATTAATGAAGAAAGATAAAATGATACATCATGCGCTCCGTGCGTAACTCGGAATGCATCTTAGACTACTAATTCAATATGACAGGAAAGAAATAATCTTGATTCCGAGTTTTTCTTATTTCAGTTTACATATGCCATATGATTATGCATGCGTCTTATCTTGTATCGCGTGAATTTATATGAAATCACTAATGTTAATTATCTGTGTGATTTATACAGGGTGTCCCAAAATAATCGCCAAATATTTCATGGGCAGGTAGAGCAGGCTAAATTAAATCAAAAAGTTCTTTTCTAGTTTGTAATTTTCGTAATAGTTAACAAGTTATTAATTATTAAAAATTGTAGAAAATTGGTCTTCAATAATTTTTTATTCAAATACTATTAATTGAATTATTGAATATTAAATAGACTGTCGATTTTATCTCCAAGTTTGAAGCGCTGAACAGCGTCATATTTGTGTTCATTCACTCTCACATATAGAGTTTCCCAAAATAATCACCAAATATTTCATGAGCAGGATTAGAGCGGACTAAACTGAGTCGGAAAGTCCTCTACCATTTTGCAATTTTTGCAATAGTTAACAAGATATTAATTATTAAAAATTGTCGCAAATTAGTTTTTAATAATTTTTTATTCAGTCTACTTACTATCAAAACTTTACAGAAAAACTGCAAGAGATAAAAATTATTTATTTTCTTTTCATAAAGTTCTGAGAATTTTTTCAGAATTTTTTCAGAATTTTTTATGCTAAAAAGTTATAAAAAATTCTGAAAAAATTCTTAGAGCTCTATGAAAAGAAAATAAACAAGTTTTTTTCTTGCAGTTTTTCTGTAAAGTTGATAGTAAGTAGACTGAGTAAAAAATTATTAAAGACTAATTTGCGACAATTTTTAATAATTAATATTTTAATTAACTATTGCGAAAATTGTAAAATGGTAGAGAACTTTCCGACTCAATTTAGTCCGCTCTATCTGTTTATGAAATATTTGGCGATTATTTTGGGAAAACCTATATACCAAGTATGTAAATATGAAATATGAATTTATCAATAGATGGCCATAGCTGTCAATGTAGTTGCCGTCAGACGGCGCCATTGACGCCAATTCCTTGTTCTGACATCTGACAAAGATTTTCAACTCACAATACAAGTTTCATACAACAGTATAATTTGTAATAGCGTTGAACATGTCGAATTTTGTGCCTGGGAACTACGATTTGCGGACAGCATTGAATTTTTGTTACCATTTGAAGAAAACTGCTGCAGAATCGCATCGAATACTTGTCGAAGCTTACGGTGAGCATGCTCTTGGTAAATCACAGTGCTTTGAGTGATTTAAAAAATTCAAAAGTGGCGATTTTGACATGAGAAACGAAGAACGTGGAAAACTACCGAAAAAGTTTGAAGACAGCGAATTGCAAGCATTGTTGGATGAGGATGACGCTCAAACTCAACAACAACTCGCGGATCAATTGAATGTGACATGAGAAGCCTTCTCCATACGTGAAATCCATGGGAAAGATCCAGAAGATGGGAAAATGGGTTCCACATGAACTGAATGAAAGACAGCAGGAAAATCGAAAAACCACTTGCGAAATGCTGCTCGCCAGATACAAAAGAAAGTCATTTCTCCATCGAATTGTGACTGGCGATGAAAAGTGGATATATTTTGAGAATCCTAAGCGTAAAAAATTATGGATAACTCCAGGCGAACCATCGACATCGACTGCAAGGCCAAATTGCTATGGACGGAAGACAATGTTCTGTGTTTGGTGGGATCAGAAAGGTGTGATCTATTATGAGCTGCTAAAACCTGGCGAAACCGTTAATACTGAATGCTACCGACAACAAATGATCAATTTGAATCAAGCTTTGTGTAAAAAACGACCATAAATCACAAAGTGCTTTGCTTCATGATAATGCACCATCAGACACAGTAAAATTGGTCAAGGAAACGATTGATTTGGTTGGGAAATACTTTCGCATGCGGCTTACTCATCAGACTTGGCTCCGTCCGATTACCACTTATTTGCATCGATGGGACACGCACTTGCTCAGCAGCGCTTTACTTCTTACGAAGATGTACGAAAATGGCTAGATGACTGGTTTGACTCAAAAGAGCAACAATTTTTTTGGCGTGGCATCCACAAATTGTCAAACAGATGGAAAAAATGTATAGCTACCGATGGGCAATACTTCGAATAAAATATTTTTTATCATTTTCATAATAACAATAAACGTGTATTTTCTATAAAAAAATTCCGGTTTCATATTTACATACCTGGTATGTGAGAGTGAGTGAACATAAATATGGCGCTGCTCAGCGCTTCAAATATGGAGAAAATCGACAGTCTATTTCTAGAAGTCTGTGATTGTAGCTTTTATAATGTGATAAATAAAAAATGTAAATGGATAATTTCACTAATTCCGCATAGCAAGCTGTCGTTATTTTGACATCGATAGTCATTTTAAATTATTCACATGTAACCTACATTTAAGATGTAATAATGATATCGTCTTTTTGATCAAATAACTTAATGACGTCATTTATTTATTATGTCTTTACAATGTCATACTTAATAACATCGAAATAGCCAATTGTCGACATACAACGTATGTCGTTTATTCCGTTAATAACATGAAAATAATGATGAATATTTTTTATGTCAGTTTATGAATGTTCAGAAACCATATAGTCATAAGAATAACTAATTAATGACGTCAAATTGACGATACCGTCAATAACACGAAAAAATGATGTATTTTTTACATCGACATATGACATTATGTACTTGACAAATCACGTCATTTTTACGATGTTGGATCATTTTAAACGTCATATTTGTCATAAGAGTGAAGAATAACTAATTAATGATGACTAATGAATGTTAAATAGACGACATCTTGGATAACTTATAATTATAGTGCAGAATTCTTTAAAATTTGAGCATATTAAATAATATACATGCACAATATTTTTTATAAATTAATTGTTCATATTGATATCCAATTAATGAACGATTAACGAAACCATATTTCAGACATCGGCATATGGCGATGAAACTACTCTCCTAGCTTTTGCATTATATGTAGCTTGCGTAATTAGTACAATTCTTGCTTATTGCTATATAGGAGAATGCCTCATCATTGAGGTAATTACAAAAAATAGGATAATTAATTTATCTATCTGGATATAAAAAATGTGATTAATCAATACTTCAAAATATTTGCAAATTTGTCCATTTTAATCTTATATATTTTGAAATTACTTAATTAGAGTACTAATTACTTGAATTATATGCTAAAAATCTTAAAAATAAATTAATTATAAATTATTTCCTAGAAAACACAAATTAGACAAAGAGTCTAAATTTGGGACATACAGCATATATATAAGACGTCTTAAAGTAACTTACAAATCATTTTATGTCCTGATTTTGGATTTCGTGTAATTTGAATTGCCTTTGTAAAGTATATATTAACATTGCTTGTTTTATTCAGAGCACAACATTACGTGAAGCATTTTACAATTCCGATTGGTACAATAATCCTCCATCAACATCAAAGCTAATCAATATTTGCATGGTTCGATCTGAGAAACCATTAATGTTGACTGCTGGTAAATTCTGCGTATTATCATTGAATACATTTACGAGTGTAAGTCAATGAATTATATATATTTTTAAGGAGATCCTAAAGCCTCTTATTTTACCACGTATAATTAAATAAGCACGTATAATTTTTGTATAAGAAATACTTTTTTTCTCTTTCACCGATTTGAAAATCCTTTTCCAGGATTAAAGTATACGCATTAATACGTGTCTGGAAAATGGAGTCTGTCGAGAACAATAAAAAATTTCAAAATTGATATATTTTTTATCATTTCTTAGTGTAACATCTCAGCTGTCAAGTCGTAACAATATTTACTTGATATGAAAGCTTTGCAACATGTATGTACAAAAGTGGTTTCCAGATATAATTTACACGAACAAACAGTGTTGAGTTCTTAGAATTAGACTTAGACGCTTTATCACGATGAATTTGTTATACGAAAACACATGTGTATCATAAATTGCATGAGATATTGCTGTGATAGTATAAAAAGCATATCGATGTGCGGCGCGCGGCGCGACCTGTAGTGATTTCGTCGGAATTAAAACTTTGCTTTAGGATCCCCTTAAATTGTTTATTTTTCATCGTTTTATTAATGAATATACTTCTTAGAGTATATTTTATTTACAGATTGTAAAAACATCGATGGCGTATGTATCTGTGTTACGTGAGTTTATATAAAAGTATTTTATATAAACTTAGTTTAAAGTATTTTATCAAAATTTGTCTACAAAATAAAAATATAAGATTATATTAACAATTAGATTTATATTAATTATAATTATATATAATAACTTATATTAACTATGTTATAATTTATAAACTTCTTAATACTACTTATCCATACCTATATTGTTTTAAAAACAAACAAATATTCGTTGAAATTCATAATATTGATATTTGAAATTTATACATAATGCTTACATTACATACTGATAATCATATTTGAAATTTAGATTAAGAAATCTATCTTTTTCATTATAACAGAATTTTAATTATATAAAATAAAAAACAGTAAAAGCAGTAATAATAAAGAAGAAATCCCGGAAAAAATTTTTTATGTGTATGAATATACAATATATAAATATATATAAACATATATAACACTCATAAATATTCATAAACATATATAATTATATATGTGAAATATATCCATACATGTTCATATATCCTTCTTTCTTTCGTAAAATTACTTTTTAATATAATAGAAATAATAATAATAGTAATGTGAAAACATAAAAAATAATTAAAGAGATAATTTTCGCATTATTTTAGAAAAAAACAAGTTTGGAAAAATATAAAAAAATTGCTCATAACATAATTATGCTCATAACATATAATTTGATATATAATTATACATAAATAATTTTTTACATTTCTTCAAACTTGATTTTTTCTAAAACAAATAATGCGAAAGTTATCTTTAATTATTGTTAACGTTTTCACATTACTATTATTTCTATTATATTAAAAAGTAATTTTAAAAGAAAAAAGAATGTATGAACATGCATGGACACATTTCATATATAATTATACATGTTTATGAATGTTTATGTATGTTTATGTATGTATATGTATTTTATGTATATTTATATATATTCATGCATGAAAAATTTTTTACCGGGTGTTACAAAAATAAATATCATATTTATATGATGGATTAGATGTATTTCCAAATGTATGTGGATATGCAGATTTAACAAAAATTTTAATAAACCAGCTAACGCTAAATATTCATAGAACGTTCGAATCGTATGTGTGCCGAATATTCCGGTAAAAAAATTGTCAGAGTCACACAGAATATACAAATGTCGATGAAATGTTCAAAATATTATGAATATCCTTGTGTATAAAAAAAAAATCACGAAATCGCGAGCGAGTTAACAGTACATATCTTTGCTGACAGGGGGTCGTGGAGAATATTTACTTAACAAGAATCATCTAAGAGAGAATATAAAGAGCGCAGTATTTTGCTTGTAAGTCCCAAAATTGGGGCTCACAAGCAAAGATGAAAATGTGAAGTGTATTCTTTAAATACAAATTTTATTTAAAAACTAATTCAGAATTTTTGAAAAAATTGAAATTTTGCGGAACATATATGGAAGATTTTCGGAATATGTAACGATATATTATAAATCAATAGTAGAAAGATGTGAGCTATTCTCGTGGATGCAATCTAAAAGTAGTGAGGAACTGACAGCTAATCACATTTGAGCCATATTAAAAATATGGTTGATGACATATTCATTATGAGCGCTTGAATTAGTATTTGAAATTCATACGCTTAATATCCCACATCCCTTTCCAAATATATATTAAATACGTATCTATATTGCATTTACATTGCGTTTCATTTAATATAAATATAATATACGTATTAAATATGTAATTAATATGATATGAAATATCTAAATCAAAATATGTATTTAATACGTATGTAATATGTAACAGGTATATTGTGCATATCCAAATATTTTTTGCAAATTGTGCAAGTCAAAATACTTATATGATACGTAATTGTTATATGTACTACGTAATTGTTTATATTTAAATGTGTAAAAATCAAACACGTAATTGATACATATATAAGAGAATGTAATACGTCATAAGATAAAGTATTGTAGTAGCAAGTAAATATTTCCGCAATAAGTACTCTGGAATATTCTTGGAACATTTTTTGGGGATTTTAGGAAATTTTTTAAATATTTCAAAAATATTGTTAGGTGGGAAATCTCGATGAATAAAGAAAAAAATAATTAAATAATTTTCTTACCTCTTTGCACGACTTACGAAAATTTAAAAAGAATTACACAGTTATCTAAAATAAAGTATTTCTAAATGACTAATAGTATATTGAAAAAAATTTATTAAATCTCGAAACACTTTTTTTTTAACTACTAATCATTAGTAAACATTTATTTAAAATAAATAAATATTTATTTAGAATTATTCACATAAATATTTATTAAATATTAAAATTTAGTTTTTTTTTTGTATAGTCAGTATTTTTTCTTTAAATGCACATACAAATAGTACAATATGCCAAGATGCATTAGAGTTATAGTCTAAACTTTTTTCTATGGTAATTATTTAGAATAACTCCTCCTCCCTACCTTAAATCTTAATAAAAATATACTTATTCGTATTTTCACAAAACGAAAGAATCTGGCAAAAAAACGCGATGATCGGCTTCGAATTATTAAGCGAATTAATGGAATTATATAGCATTAAAGTGACTTTAGAGGTTAAGATATTTGTCATTCCGCCTTAATATAGCACTATGTATACGTTCTGCATTAATTACACACATTCACTGCTTTAAAAACACAAATTTACTGCTTTAAAAATACAAATTTATTGCTTTACAAATAAAAATTTATTGCTTTAAGCACACAAATTCTTTGCATTAACAATGAATTTGTGTTTTTAAAGTAGTAAATTTGTGTTTTTGATGAATTTTTAAAACAGTAAATTTGTATAATTAATACAGAATGTATATATAAAGCTATATCGAATCGAGATAGATATCTTAATCTCTCCGGCTCGTTTCAGACCGTATTCAGAATGCGCTTTTATCGATAAAAGTGCGCTTTTATCTCTGATAGTCTATAGTATGCGTAACGTAAATTATAGCATGTTAGCACGCTAACATCTCTGTAAGCGCATTCTGAATACGGGCCTCCAATTTTAACGCTTAATAACTCGATTCACTAACCGTCGTGTTTTTTCGCCAGATTCTTTTGAGTGAAAACACGTCGAATAAGTATATTTTTATTAAGAGATTTGAGATGGAAGTAAAGGAACACAAAACCAGTTAGTGAAATAGCGGACAACAAACCATTGACTAAACGAAGTAGAACATGTCATCTACAATTAATAGTAGTAGTAGAGGATGTAGTATTGTAGTAGGATTGCCATCTGTTCTCATTTCCCCGAATGTCCTCTTTATTTCGTCCTTTTTTTAAAACATCAAGAGATCTGGAAGGATTTTCCAAAGGTATCCATAATAATTATAAGTAATTACTTTGGAAAATCTTTTCGAACGTTCCCCGAATACTACCGAATAATAAAAAATCAGCATATAAAAAGCTGATGTCGTCCAGAGGATAGATATGATAACCTTAGACTATAGACATGGCGAGAGTAAGGTGGTTTTCCGATCCAGCCAGAAATGATTGATCGATCAACGTCAAATCGATGGTAATTCAACATTGATCGACGTTAATTCAATATTAATCGATCAATTATTTGTATCTGAGAATGTAATAGGACGTATAGTCTGTATGAATGTACGAAATGGTTGAAATCTATTGTTGAAATCTATAATTAAAATCGCATTGATCGATCAACTATTTTCGGGAAGAAAAATCAACTTACTCCCAACATGTCTACAGCCTCTACTGTTACTGTTCATTGTAGACGATGTTTAAAATTTGTTTACACTGTTATAAAACAGATATTCCATAACTATAGTTTTAACAAAATAATTAAATTGTATGACATTTCACGCGTCATCCTCTGCATGCAAAGCCTTACAATTAAGTTTTTTCAAGATTTTTTAATCAAATTTTTATAATATACAATTCTATATAATATGTATATACACAGGGTAATCTATTATAATCCAATTTTCTCCCGGACAATACTCGAAAAAATATTTCAAGTAAAACTTCTTATTCAAGAAGGACATTTTATAATGAATATATATTTCTTATAGCTGAAGATATCTTTGGAGTAAGTTTTTACTTGCAACATTTTCTTCGAATAACGAATAATTCGAAAGATAAGATTGAATAGAAAGATTATAATGAATCACTCTGTATATTGATGTGAATTATTAAAACTTCTTTGGCGTATTTATTTATCGATGTTGCGTGCTGTCATGAAGGAATATAAGAAAATTATTATTTAAGAACATACGCATAATTCACAATATTGAACAATTTTGTATAGTAGATAAAGTAAATAGAATGATTGTATAGTAGTAAAATAAATAAAATGATAAAATAAAAATAACTTATGGCTATTTTTCTAGAAATTTAAATTATATTTATAATTTAGATCTTCAATTTAGATTTATATTCGTAAAGCACATTTCTTTGTTTATACAAAATCGTTTTGAGTGTATTAAAATATCCGTATATTTAAATAATAATCTAAAATGCACAGATTCTTTTCATTTTTTATCATGACGGAAAAATTAGTGTTTCAAGATTGCAATTAGAGTTATACTGCACAATATTCGAAAAGCTGAACTTTTTGTACACGCAGTCTAAAACAAACTGACAACAACTTTTATTTGTAATCGTGCATCGCTGAAGAAACAACAAATCTGCATCGATGAAGAACCAATTATGTTCAATTTTACTTTGGATTAAAAGCACTGGGTTCAGTAACACACTTATATGCAATTTATACATTAATTTTGGGTGCAGTTATTATCTGTATCCCATAATCCGCGTGTTTCTATCCCAGATTCTATAGACAGTTCTAAGTACAAAAACAGAGATTACTTGGATTCTTACATTCGTATATTCGATACAATTTGATGCGAGCTCTCGAGGAAAGAACAACGTAACGCACGATGCAGGTGATGAGTTTTGCCGATTTTTTTACTGTTACAAAACGCCATGAAGAGTTATATGTTATTACATTACTTAACGATTAATTATAAAGACTTTAATATTTCTTTCAGGATCAAAAAGACTTAGATCGTGCGGCCAAGGTGTTATCTTGGAACAAATGGCTAATGTCAATGCTGGGTCTTTGGCCTTTTCAATCCAATGATCTTATTTTCTCGATTAGTTTTGTCTACTTCAGTTTTCTCTTGATTCTGGAGTATCTGAGCTTCTTCTTTTACATTAGTGATCTCGAACTCGTGATCATGAATTTGACAGAAAACGTGGCATTTTTACAGATATTTGTGCGAATGAGTACGTTAAGGTTATATAATGATGAAATTGGTGAAGTCATAACGGAGGCCATGAAAGATTTTGATGAGGCAAATTATAAAACTGCCGAGGAGATTAAGACATTCGTCACTTACTATGCTAAATCGAGGATCTTTTTTAAGCTGATGATGATATTTGTCATAATAACGGCTTTATCATACTATTTGACTCCAATTCTTATTATTCTCGGAAATGGAGGTGAGTTGCTTTTTTATATAACTTGATCCTGACGTATTTAGAAGAAATATGTGAAATATGTGAAACAAATAAAGTCTCGTTAACTGGCAGTTCCGCATTTTTATTATGACTTGATTTTACAGAACGAGTTTTTATATTTTATGATGAATGTTTTTTTTTATCTTCAAGTTTTCAAAATCTACGTATCTCCTTGAATTTGAAAAAAGTGTCAAAGGTAGAAATTTTATTAAAAAATGATTTTTTTAAATGTTAGTATTAACGTCAGAGTTGAACGTTTTCTCAGGACTACCCGAAATAGTGACCATCGAAAATGTGACTCAAATAATTTACCTATTACCTTATCGCTTTCATGTGTTCTACGCGATTGAAAATATACGTATGTACACGATTACATACGTCTGGCAAATGCCGTTTGCCTTCGTCAGTGCTTGTGGACAAAGCACTGCTGATTGTATTATGGTTACACTCGTCTATCACATTTGCGGTCAGATGTCGGTTCTTGCTTTGCGTATTAACAATATAAATACCGAAGTCTGTGATTGTGGGCCTGAGATGCGACATATGATGCTCATGCATGTATGATTATTACGGTGAGTTCATGCATATACATATACGCGGAAGCTTTAAAACATGTATTGTTAAAAGCTCTCCTTTAGTTTCACATTTCAGTTAAAATCAAATAGAGCTTTTTGTTTAAAATAAAGATTTTTGTTATAAGATAAATTCTATATTTTTTTCTATTCTTTATTGACAAGGGAAACACAACTAAGTGTCCTCCTCCAACTTTAATAAACGTTGTGTATGAAAGAATGTATATAATAAAAGTGTCTTTTATCTATATATTATTTATACATCTATATATTATTTTTATCTATATATTAATATATCCAAAACTTATTATACGTAAATTCGAAGGGAATATTTGATTATATTTTCTTGTTAGAACATTTACCTTAATAATTGAAATTTGAAATTTGAAATAAACTTTTGTCATTAGCAACTTTTATTAAATAATTGCATTTATATAATTTGGACTTTCACAGAATGGGAAAAATAATAGGAAAAGCATTTAGTGCTACATTATTGGCGCATCTTTTAGGAGCTACTTCTCTCGTAAGCATCCTCGGTTATCAAATGTTATCGGTAAGTCAATATTGTAATGATGATCACGTAATATCTGATACATTTACAAATTTGAAAACAATTATGATATAAGAAAATAACATAAATTTTTTTTAAATAAAAAAAAATTATATTAAAATAAAAAAATTGAATAGAATTGCAGAAAAGAGCAGCAACCGCCAATGAACTGAAACTTGATATATGTTATCAAGGTCATAACTCTGAGTGATCTTCAACAGGTTTTAACTATCGCTCATCATTCGTTAAAAAATTATTAAAAATTATTAAAAAGTTTGAAAAATTATATTTTTTGTTTATAAAACAGAAATTTTCTGTTTTGAGATATATTTTCCAATTTCTTACGCGAAACAACTCTTACTCCACGTCTCACCCTATTTAGGGGGCATGACTTTCCATGCAAAGCGACTCTAACTCCATTTCTCCCCTGCCAAGAGGCTCGCGACTTTTCATATAAAGCGAGTTCCACCCTATCTTGCTTCGTCTGGAAAGTCGATCGCATCTTGGCAGAGAAAAAAGTAGGGTGAGGGTCGCTTCGTGTCGAAAGTTATTACATAAACAAGGAAAGGATATAGAATAGTTTTTAATATTATACATATATAGCAGAAATAAAACGTTTTTTTTTAAACTTTTTTTGTTAATCATTTTTTAATAAATGAGTAACGGTTAAAACCTGTTGAAAGTCTTTCCGGATAATCTTGATAACATATGTCAAGGACATCGATTGCTCCTCTTTTCTGCAGTTTTATCAAAAATTATTTCTTTAATCGTGCAACAAAAAAACATTCTTTAAATCAAAGAAACCTTTCTCTGGATGCAGACAGTGCGTTCACTAAAGGCTACATAGAAGTTGTAGAGTGTTAAATAGTAAGAAATTGCCCAATCACATATATAATCATATTACATATGTCACAATCAATATATACAAATATAAGGAGAATACTCGATTAGGATTAATTAATTTCTTACAATTTGAGACCTTACGTTTGTCTGCGGCTTCTATGTTGAGCCTTAATACTTACAGGTGAACTATCTAAATGTAATCTGTAATTGACTATATTAAAACCTGTATCTCAGAAACTATTATTTAAAATTAAAATATAGAAATAACGTTTTTTTAATTTTACAAAAATTTTCTTGTTATAATATTTTAAGCAGAATTTTGAGGCATGTTCTGTATATAACATACGTTTGTGTGTATATGTAAAAATAAATTTGCACGTATCACAACTTTAATTAAAATAATATTTTTTTTAATTAAAATAATATTATGCAAAAGAAATTAGTTCTTAGCTTATTGATAACACTACTCTTAGTAAGATAATCTATTTAAAATTTTTACATATTTTTACATATATTTTTATGTTAAGTTAGAGCATTAAAAAACTTTATAAAAACGTATAAAAAATTATTTAAGAATTAAAAAAATATTATTGATTAAGTATTTTCATTATTTTGTTAATTACAATTTATTATTAATCATTTTAATTTTCAATTTTATGTAAGTAGAATCTTTCTAAGGGTGAAACAGGAGTGGTTCCACTTTTATTGAAATTCTTTTTATTCATATTCTTAGTCCTGCTTATACTTTATGCTCATTGTCTTGTCGGCGAAAACCTTTTGACAGAGGTAATGTTTTGTGGAAAATAAGATGGAAATTAAAAAAGAATTACATATATGCATATATAATAAAATTTGTTCGATATCTATGTATAATTTTTTAATGTTTTCTCGTAATGTAATAATTTTTTCACAGAGTTCTAAAGTGGGTGAAGCGTTTTATAATTGCCGTTGGTATGATATGTCAAAGAATAATGCGCGAATGCTAATATTATGCATGGCAAGATCGCAGAAACCGCTCTGCCTGATAGCTGGAAAATTTACCATGTTTTGTCTCAGCACTTTAACTGACGTAAGCAGTTACTGATGATTTATATACATTTACAAAATTTCTAAAGTAAAAAGATTTCGCTTAGTTTTAAACATTTAAATTAAATCGTCGCTGTTGATATAAAAACATGAAAAAAAAAACATGGTTCAAAAAATAAATTATTTTAACAGATTTTGAAAACATCCATGGGATATTTATCAGTATTACGTTCTCTCTTATAACATCATTGAAGAGCAATAATTTTTGGAAGCGTGTGCAAAGATAATTTATAAATTGAACATGCTCAAATAGAAATTAATGTATAATTTATAATAAAGAGTGAAAGGAGAGAAAGAGAAATAGTAAGTTATTGTTACCAAAACTATAAATTGTTTTTAATATTTTTGTATTTTATGTAATATTTTCATTTTTAATATTTTTTTTATATAGAAAATATATTCATTTTAAAATAAATTTTATACATAAAAATAAGTTCCTTATTTAAAATGTTGTTTGCTATTATATGTAAAACATTTTTTACATAAATTGCACAATTAATATTTAATTTTTTAAAATTGATTATAACTTTTAAAAAGTTCGTTTAATTTGGTATCATCTTACGTAATCTCAAACCATCTCTAATATATTTTTGTTGTTATTATTACTGTTACATATTTTAGCTAAATACGTTCAGAGAGTTATCATCCAAGATGATTTGCAATCAAGAAACTTTATTAACAAGTCGATCATAATTATCAAGTTATTTAAAATAAAATAATTAGCAAACATTAATAATTGGTTACATGAAACTTGACAAATAATCATAGAAATATTGTAAAGTTGCAAAGATTTTTTTATCACAATATGAATATTTTGCTGCACCGTGCCACTCTTACCTTTAAATACTGCAAATGCATATGTCGACGAGATATCTGCTACCGTGCGAATCCAGAAAGAGGAGATCGTCTAGCAGGTAAGTATTTTTATAGATCGTTTGCGCTAGGTTGATTTTGACAAGCTGGCCTTCGCTCAAATTTATTTCTCTTTCGTTCCCACAGTCGTAATAAAGATACGAAGTCTATGTCCGATTTTATTTGACAGACTCTGATCACTTTGTCGTAACATGACTTGTTTTTCGCTTGTATAAATAGAGTATTTTGCTTCACTGAAGATGTAAAGGAGATCCATATGCTGGCTGTCACTAATTCAATCATAAAAATTGATGACTTTATTTAATAAGGATAGTTCGTAGGCACAGACTACTCCTATTGATTACTCTTCTTGATCAACATTGCCTACGAAGCTTCCGGAAAAAAACTTTACTACAAGTATAATCATTCCGAAGATATTTTTGCAATTATCAGTGACCAACAATTATCAGTACTTTTGTGACTAAACCTATATTAATTTTCTTGTATTAAGTGGCTCAAATATATTTATATATTTTCAATAAATAAACTTTGATTTGTGATACAGGAGTCATTTAAAACAGATCACCTGAATAATTGATTTGTTTTTATAACAATAGAAGGAAAAGTGTCAAACAAAAGTTGCATGGTTTCAACGTATTTCATTATGTTATCTTTCTTCTAGGTGGAGGTACTAAAAGGATATAAAGATCATCTCCATTTTTTTAACCAAATTGTATGATTATATTTTTTTTTTACACAATATGGTTCCTCTAATTATTCCTCTAATTATTCTGCATATAAAAGTATTAAGATAATGATATCAAAAAACCAATAGTTTACGAGATATTTTATACTTCTACCACATGTTGGCATAAAATAATAAATATCTCGTAAATTATTAATTTTTTGATAATTGTACTTTAATATTTTATGAACAGAATAATGAGATAAATCAATTAGTGGACAGAAAAAATTTATAGTTGCTTAATATTCTTGAGACTTCCACGGATGCTTCCTATATAAAGATTATGCGTTCGCAGGTTTCTTCTGTGTCCAATCCAAGAATGGATACGGAAGAAAACGTGCGAAACGCATAATCTTTATAGAAAGCATCCGTGAAAGTCTCAAGAATATTATCAAATGTCTCTATGGGGAGAGTATTCTTGCTAAAGTAACATTTTCAGCAAACTTAGGTCTTGCCTAGCCAAAAAAACTATCAAATTTGGCATTCCTAAAAGCTACAGGGATAATAACATCATCCCAAAGTTCCTACAACTCAAGAATCACCTAGGCACTCATAAATCCAAAAACATCCTTCATAAAATCAGCCTCATCCTCATCAAAGAATTCACTTCATTAAGTCACAAATAGTCCAAACTTCTCATAAAACTTTTAAACTCCACCTATCCACCGCGTTGCGGCGATGATATTTGGCAAACCTTAGATCGTATTACATACGAACAAGCCATGAAGATCCACACACAACTCTCTGAAAAATAGAAACAGAAATATATAAACCTTGTTCCTTACAAAAATCCACAATTCTCTCTACTTAATGTCAAGAACTTATCCAACAAAGACCTGTCTCAAGACACTATATCTGTCATATCGCTTGCCAAAGGCCCTAACTTCGCAGTGACATCTAGAAAGATTCCAAAGGAAGATCCCGAATAGAGCCAACCGTCTACCAACTTCCATCAGAACAAGCAGATAATATTCGCAGATAGGTAAGTATCCTTTCCAAACCTCCTTCACCAAACATTACTAGACAAGAGCGATTAGTCTTCTAAGACCTGAACAGGAACATAGACATCATCCAGTACTTCCAGCCGACAAAGGCAACACGACAGTCATGAACACATCAGAATATAAGAAAAAGATAAAGAACCTTCTCTCGGACAAAGCATAATTTCTCGGAAAAAGCTTGACAAAGATCCAACTAATACAATCGCGCAGAACATTAAGATCCTGGTGGAAAAAAGCAATATTAAACATTCCCAGTAAAACCAAATCAACATTAAAATCTACATATCCTCTCCCACCAAGACTATACGGACTACCAGAAGTACACAAACCAAACAATCTCACTCAGACCCGATTGTTAACACATACACTCCCCGACAACTTATCCCGCTTCCTAGCACAAACACTACAATCCCTCACTGGAAAATTCGAATCACACATAACTAACTCGACGGACTTCATACAAAAGATCCAAAAAATCCGATTACGTCCCACAGATCTGCTTGTAAGTTTCAACGTGGAATCCCTTTTCATACAAGTCCCAATAAAAGACACATAATAAACATAATAAAGATCTCATGAAGTCCTCTCCAACCTCATCCCGCTAATAGAGCACTGCTTAACAATCGCTTACTTCTCTTACAACCAATTTTATGAACAAACTTCAGGAGCGGCAATGCGCTCTCCTGTTTCTCTTGTAATCGCCAGCATCTTCATGAAACATTTTGAGAAAGAAGCCCTCAGAAAAACACTCGAAAAACCATATTTGGTTCCGTAGACACATTCGTATGGATACACGGCAGAGCCGAACTCCGTAAATTCTTTATTTTCCTCAACAATTAAAATATCCACTTCACTATAGACATAGAGGAAAACGGAAAACTCTCCTTCCTAGATGTTGTCTTTAAGAAAGCTGACGGTACCTTAGGCCATCAAGTGTATAGAAAATCAACACACACAGATAAATACCTACATGCCGAATCACATCACCATCCAGCATAAAATCCAGTCTGCAATCAATTCACTTGTACATAGAGGTTTCACCATCTCTGACAAAGAACATCTACAGACAGAATTCAATCACTTAAAAACAGCCTTACAGAAAAACGGACACGACAAAAAAGATATAATTAAAATAATCAATAAACATGCAAACAAGACAACGGTCTCTGACACAATCAGACAAGAGGATCCTATCCACTCTTCCATATGTTAAAGGAACAATAGATCGGATTGGCAGGATAATATCTTTAAATTATCTTTAAACCAAAAAGATAGGATAAATCTTAAGAAATCCTAAAGATCAAAGACCTCCCCTCAGCTCCGCAAGAGTGTATAAAATATCTTGTTCCTGCGGGCAAGTATACATTGGAGAAACTAGGAGAATAGTCAACCTACGAATAAAAGAACACCAACGTGATATTAAAATACGTCACGCAATCAGAATACAACATCGAAACAGGACATCAAATACTATTTAACAAAAGGATCATAATAGCCAACATTATATCATATTTTCCAAGAAAATATAGAGAAGCCAGAAAATATAGAGATACAAAAATATCCTAACAATCTAAATAGAGATAATGGTTACAACATAAATAAAATATGGAAAACTATTCTCCCAATTAATGAGGATTGACCGATTTCTTCTACTTCTCTTCCCACCCCTCATCCACAATTCTCTTCTTTCCCTCTACCACTCCAACAAGTAGCGTAATATATAAAAGGGGAACGATCCAAAGGAACAGCTCAATATCAGGCTGCTCCTCGCCCTGATAAAATGAACTGCAAGGTTCACGAAATGTTGGCATTCCAAGAATAGATCTGGACACGGAAGAAACCCGCGAAACGCATAATCTTTTTATAGTTGCTTATATAAAAAATAATTTTGCATACATAATTTTTAAAGCATGCTTTCTGTTCACTAATTAATTCATCTCATTATTCTGTTGTCTTCTTGTCATCTCATTATTCTGAGAATTTTTTAATTTTTTGCTGAGATCAAAATTGAAAATTAATAGTCACATTCGAAAGAGAGAATATTTATGAACATTGACAAAAAATGAATCATATTCATATATTTATATAGATGCAGTAGAGGTTTAAAAGAAAGATAATATTTGGGACCTTAGCAAAATGTGTATCGAACCGCGTATGTATCTTCCCTTTTTCATATAAAAATATTAAAAATATGAAAAATAAAGTGATCCTACATTAATTTTATAAGTTAATTTTATAATTTTATTGCATAAAATTTTATAATTTTATTGATTCATTTAATATTAATAACATATTGATGTTGATAAAATTAAGCTCAATTGACACGTTTTTTTTATACGAAATAAACGAATCTGACAAAAAAGTATCTTGTGGACCGAATAATAATCGTTAAAGTTTATGATTATTTAGGTTAGGAAATCTGTCATCGATGGCATCACTGAAATATAATATTAGATATGGGAAAAAGTTCGTGGCGTTTTTTTAATGCATCTAATGGGAAAAACGCCACGAACTTTTTCCCACACCTAATATTATTGGAACGGGCGCAGCTCTATCCCAACTGTCTTTGTTAAGAGTGATCCGAG